GATTGTCGTGGCATTACAAGGCAATTATGTAGGTTCTCGCTGTATTTTCTTTATATCAAAACCCTGTAAATTAAATCTACTTTGATGCCTGAGCAGTGGTAACAAAGGGGCAAATAATAAGAAATTGCACATTTGGAGTAATAAAGATTTTATTGATCTGTGTGTAATGCAAGTAGATCAGGAAGTGTTTGCTTTGGGATGGAAACCTTACATGTCTAGAACCATTCCTTTATTGTACACTTTATTGTTAGATTGTCTGCTATATTAACCAATATGATGTGTTGAACTAGATCTGCTATTTTCACAGCTTTTGTGTCATAGTTTTTTTTATAAAGTAGGGCATTGCCAAAGCCCTTATGGGTAAACTACCTTTATACATTTGTAATTTACTTTCCATTTGAGATAGTACTTACAGGACTAGGTCATCAGAAAAAATACTTTTACATACTCCATTTACAAGAACTGAACTAGGAAAAACAGCATTTTCATCATTTGCACCTAAAGCATGGAATGAACTTCAAGCCACTTTAAATCTTGAAGTACTTCCATCCATAAATTCTTTTAAAGACCTGTTAAAATCATCATTCACTGACAGATGCAACTGTTTTTGATTGGATGCCTTGTTTGCTGTTTGCTTTTTGGTTGTATGTGTATGCCCAATCTTGTTGTGTTGTGTTTACTTTTGCCTAGATGATATGTAGCTGTGGTTGTCTTGTCTCCTGTGGTTTTATGTTAATGTAACTTTTTAAGCCGCCTTCTTGGCCAGGACTCCCTGGAAGAAGAGTTACTTTAACTCAATGGGACTTTCCTGGTTAAATAAAGGTTAAATAAAAATAAAAAAAATTAGTTCATAAAAAAAATAATTTGAATTCTATAAATCAAGTTTTCTGCCCAACAGCAATGATGAACTGCACGGTGGCATTCTATACTAGGGGTGGAACGGTTCACAAAATCCACGGTTCGGTTCGATTCACGGTTTCGTGGTCACAGTTTTTGGTTCGGTTCAATTCGGTATATGTTGATTGTAACACCGAAATCCCATAAAAATTTATGAAATTAATGAAAAAATCCCCCCAAAAATAATGGATTGTAATTATTTTAAAGGGTTTGCGGAAACCCTGGATCATTTACTTATGTTTTGCTGCTTTGAATTTAATCATCTCACGCATGCTCTCTAACATCTCCAAGGGACTCAGAGGGGAGCGGACGGGAGCCACAGTGGAGGCTGTGTGCTTTGCTCTGAGCAGCCGGTCTGGAGCGCAGCGGGGGTTGCTGACGGAGTATGAGGGATTTCGGAGTTAGCATGACATGTTGGTCATGTTGCTGTTAGCATAAACAAAACGTGTTGCACAATGCTTGCACACTGTTGCACTTTTATCCACAACTTTCTTTCCGCCGTCATCGTAGGTCACTCTAAATGCAAAGTGGTCCCATACAGCAGACCTATAAAGTGCTGCTGGCGCATCTTCCAACTTCTGTTCTTTCCCACTCGCCATACCCACACAATTCTCCACAACAACTGATTTTTTTCCCTGCTACACCCGGCTAAGCTGCTTCGCTTCTTCTTCTTCTTGTTTACTACTGGTGGTTGGCTTTGGTCGTAGTACCGCCACCTTCTGCTCTGGAGTGTACACGCTTCGCCTATGAGAAAAAGGAGCAGCGCATGAACCGAACGAAACACACGCGAATCGAACCGAACGGTTCGGACGGTTTTCATAAATCGTCCCATCCCTATTCAATACCCAACAATTGTAGTATCTAGGCAAGAGCTGTCAGTCTGGTAAAGAATTTGGTTGTTAATCAAAAATTGTAAAGGTTCACTTTTTTTGTTACATAAAACTGACTAAAACTAGGCCAAAAACTAATTAAGTTTTATTTGACTACACCCATCACATATCATTATGATTAAAATGTGACCAAGACTAATCCTGAAGATTAAGACTTCATCTTAGATGCTTTAAAAAAAAAACACTGTTTGCTACTATTAGGACTTAGCATGCATCAGCTTTGGCTGGCTCAATGGAGGAAATTAAAAGCAGTGCAAAAAAACTAATAACTATCAGGCTAGAACACAATGCTATAAAAGGTAAAAACATAATTCAACAAAGGTAGTAGAAACACAATACTAGGAAATCCCTTCCTCCTGCAGGCCTGCAGAGAGCCAAGGCAGAGTGCATATACTAATAGTATTGGTTTATTTAAATACGAAACATGATTTTTATTAAATTGAACATATTGTAAAACCCAAAAATCATTGATTATTTATTTTTATTTTTGCCTTATCAAAATTAGGGAAAATAATGTATTTGTTGAACATTTCTTCCTTCATTTATTATTTTTTTTCTAGGGGCTGGCTGTGTGTATGTCAGCAACTTTTGTGGTAACATAAATAAATATGCATATGGCCTGTCTTTGGCCTTAACACATAAAACCTTATTTTGAGTTGGGGCCATTGTTGTTGCTATTCGGTAACAATAATGATATTATTTTGATGGGTTAATTTTTCAGATTTACACAAACAAACAGCTTTGAGATTATTTCCCTTGTTCTTCAATCAATTAAGTCAATGAAAATAAGCAAATACTTTAAAATCAAAGGCTGGAGCTGAAGGGTATATTTGGTTATACAGCAAAATCATGTTCAGTCTTAAAAGTGAAGAAACAGTGATTTATTATTATGAAAAACAACTTCCAACAGTGGGTGTATTTTTGGTCAGCTCTTGCTCATCAGGTTAACAGATTTTTCTTCACATAAAGTCTTTGTCATAAAGCTGCATGTAATCATTCCAAAAATCCTATGAGACCTACAGGTGTTCTTAGCATCCTTTATATCTGTTTACTTTTGTCAGCAGCATCAAACTTAAATTATTTATTTATTTATTTTACATTGAAGTACTTGTTACACAACATGAAGTCCTAAATCCTGGTTTAATGTAGGTGCAATAAGTTCATCTCTGAGGGGAATACACTTTACCACTAGTTTCCCTTGTGTGATTTGGGTCCAGAAGTAGAGGCAATGAAGAGCCTGGCAAAATTGCACAAGCTACAAAAAAAAAAGGAAAGTAAAAAAAAAAGAAGCGCAAACTCCCATCTGCACACATGAGGAGTGCTAGTGAAAATGACTGCATCCCTCTGGGGAGTGGGCAGTGGGAGATGCGGGACTTGATGAATCAAGGACCTTTTGTTTGCAGCAAAATTATTGCTTCAGAGCAGTTGGAAAAGAACAGCGCGTTGGCAGAGCTTGGCAGGCAGGAGACAGTCATTTGTGGCCATTTAGGTTTGAAGCTCACGCAAAGAGGGACTGAGGAGAGCAAGGTCATTTAAAGAGGATGCAGAGCGAAATGATGTAGCCAATGCAGGGTGTTTAAGTGTCTCTACTTGAATTTAGCTGCAGCTCAGTAAACCACAGCAACACCTGCAGTAGCGAACGAGACACACAGTGGTCTTTATTAGCATATATACACAGAAGGTAAGAGCCAGAAGCAAATTTTGAAATAAAACTTTAAAATTTTAAAATATGAAGATGTGCTGTATTTTCTGACTTTATCAAAGGCTTTTATAAGAATTGTGCAAAAAAATAAGAAAAATTCTGGTTTTATTGTATTTAACATAAAAATCTGTAGGCCTATATCAAGAGAAAATGCAAGACCAGCCGCCATATTGGAGCTCTACCTGACTGTAAAAAATCATGTTAGAAAAAGCTGGCTGCTTTGCTTTTTCGGCGCCAGCTTAAGATGTCTACCCATGAAAAGAATACTGAGGCGAGGAGGCATTCGGCTGGTAGCAATCTCCCCCCTATGATTTTGAGAATCAGTTGCCGGCGATTTACTGCTGACGATTTCACAGCAATGGACAGGCAGACGCATGGTCTCTATAGTGTGTGTTTAAGGGTGATATTTTTTTTGGAGGCCAATATTTGTTTTAAAATTACCACCTTCTATACAATGCCAATAAATATTTACAAACAATGAAACAAATCAAACAGGGAATTAGGATTTTGTGGTTTGAATGTCAAACGAAAAAAGGCTTCAGTTTAGAACAAAACAAAGATATCCCCCCTCATATATAGATATACAAATCTATCTATGCAGTGAAAAATGTTTATCAAAGAATAAACATATATTATCCCCCTGGGGAAATAAATTTGCCATATTCTTTGGAATATCATCTGTTTCTAAACCCTAATCATATGTTTCATACTAATAGACATGTTGGTAATTGAAATTCAGTTTTGTTAAAACTGAAATAAAATATTAGGTTAAATGAGTTAAGCCTATATATTTTATAAACATAATTATGAGTAGTTTTGTAAAGAGACCGATTTACATCTGATGAATATATTTCAGTACCTCGGACTCGCAATAACTGAATTCCACTGAATAATATAGGTGGGTAGGACACAACTGAAAATGTAGGAACACATCAAAAGCTATTAAAGAACAATATGAATGAGCATAAAATTAATTTAACCTGTTCTGTTCATTAAATGGGCAATAATGACTTTGACCTCCATTCACACACACACAGATGTCTTATCAAATATAATTTTATAACAAAATAAGACAAATTATGAAAAATATCATATGTTATTTTAAAAGTAAGATATTCAGCATCACATAAATATATAAAACAGCAAAGAAAAAAAATTGGATTAAGCACCAGCCTTTTAAAACAAACAAAAAGCAGAAAAGTGCAAACAGGATAATCAATTCCCATTCAATAAAACTGCTTTTTGCTTTATTGTATGCTCTACGCTCCTTAAAAAGAAAAAAACTAAAAACTATTGGTGTGACTGCAAAGATGCACAACTTTTTATTTACGTCTTAAAGCAGGTTGAAATCAACCACAACACAGACATGATTGGGATATGTGGAGATTATTACTTCTGATTATATAAAAATAAATTTGATAATTTTTAAAAAGTGATGCAACAAAAGAAGTCCAAACCCAGTTTAGGTGCAACCGGCGTGGAAATTGGGTGACAAAACATTGTTTTCCTACCTGTGTGAGGCGGCTGAAGAGCTCCTTTCCCGTCGCTGTCCATTTCCAGCTGCCACAGATTACCGAGAGAGAGAGAGAGCTCAGCTTCCTCGTGAGAGCGTGTTCGGTCCCGCGAGCCAGTCAAGAAAAAGATAAAGTGCCTGGGTAATGAGCGCGCGCTGCGCCACTGCCGCCGCCTGCGCGACAGAGATACCGAATCACAGCGCGAGGGGATGAGAGGAAAACTGAGAGGGACCAAATATAATCAGTTGGTGAGAAAACAGAGCGGGGAGAATAAAAAAGCAGCAATTCACACCAGAGCTTTTAAAATGTTAAACGTTTTAGAGCAAATCACACAGGAAGAAAAATATGAAAACATGTTTTTTATGTTAATTTTCAGATAAGAACTGAATGACGATTAATTGAATTGTTTGAATTATTTTAAAAAGAACAAAGGATGAATATTTAGATACTAATATAAAGATTCAAAAGACATCATAGTTTAGGTTTACATCTACAAAGAAAACAAAAGACTAAATAGTGACAAAGCTTCCAGTTAACAAAGTGTGGTTCTTTACCCAGGGTACCAGCATGTGAAGGGTCAGCCTAAGTGTGTAAGGCAATGTTCCAACTGCAGCCTGAAGTGACCCAAATCAGATTTTTGTTTTTTTGCCCACATGCGACCTGGATCTGATCTTTTCATGACAGTCTGAACAACACAGATCAGATTTTTTCCAATCCGTCCCTGGCCACTTGGCTATGTGGTCCTGAATCCGATCCGAATCTGATCTTTTCAAATGCGACTGGTGTGTGAACGATCAAGTCGCATTCATCCGACCTGAACACCATTAGTAACCGACATAGGTCACTATTCTGCTTCTTGCTACACAAAAGCAGCAAGAAAAACAAGAATCATGGCAGACGATGATGCGGAGAGCAGTATTTTTTTTTTTTAACCGTCTTGAGAAGATTGAGGTTTTAAGGTTTAGAAGGATCGCTAGATGCGCTCCAGCACTACATCCATGTTTACTTCCGTAAACACGAAGTAGGCTGGCTTGTGACTTCATTGCGTCCTCTACTGCGTATGTGGGACTCTTAAGCTGAATTAATGCAGTTTGCACAGGAGATCACATACAAGTTGCATATATTTTGAAATATGAACGGCATCGCAAAAAAAGTCAGATTCCACAAAAAAATTGGAATTGAGCATCAAGGCCTACAGTGTGAACGTAGCATAAGAGAATCAAGAATCCACCTTTCGTATTCCATTTTCAGAGTTTTTTAAAGTGTTTAACAGAGACGTTAGCACCTCGACGTCGGAGTACACAGAGTGAAGCGAAAAGACTACAACTGTGTAAACAGGCCCCATTTCCGTTTCCGGTGGCAGGGGAATATTGACTATTCCTACAGAACTCAATGGGATTTACAAAATGCTAAATAAAACACTACAGGAAAGTTTTTTCTTTACGAAACTTTTTTTGGAACGTCATTGAACAGCGCTGACGACCCGGTGAGTAGCATATTTAAAAAAAAGAACGTTTAAGGTTGTTCTAAGGACATTATCGGACATGCACTATGGAAGCCATTCTAAAGCAGCCAGGGGGTGATTCTAAATGAGCCAAAAAGCAGAGACAGGAGCAATTGTCAAACTTTTGGTGTCGATCATTCGATTTCATCCTGGACACTACAGAAAATGGGCTTAAAGTGTAAAAAACCGAACTTCTCCTTTAATCAACAATTCATTCTGGGAAAATAAGAGTGGACAATGGTTTTCTATGCTTCCTACTGTAAATATAACAGTGGTGGGAACAGCTGAATATGAAGGGAATAGGTAATTGGCCAAATTAACAAGTTTAAAACCTGTAAAATCTAGGTCTGCCATGTTACCGGTATGTTAAAACTGTTAAATACCGAATAGATGCTTCTCCGATTTGATGACGCAGTGAAGAGCCAGGAGCTGAGCTTGTTGCCCACCATGCAAATACTGGAATCGAATTTGGCGTAAACACACTTTAACGGCACATTCCATTATTCCTTAGATAGAAAACTTTGAATCAATTTGACTGGATGATATGCTGAACTGTAAAGTGCCTTGAGAAGACATGTGTTGTGAATTGGCGCTATATAAATAACCTGAATTGAAATTATTCCTAGGTGAAATACTTTCGGCATCATCAACACACTTTTAGCAAGCTATGGTCTAACAGGGAACCTGCTGAGAGTTGATGGGAGGTTGGGGCTAAATAAAGGGCCGTCGATGAAGAAAACCTGTTAGAAGGCACAAAAGACCGAAGACTGAAGCAGCTGGTGCTAAGACTACCCTATTGCATAGTTTACATTATTTGTTTATTCAAACACTTTAGTTAAATTGCTTTATATTGGTCATTCCAAAATAGTTAATGGGATGCCAAAGCTTAAGAACAATGCTGATGTTTACATGTAAACATTTTCACTACAAACCTGTTCCGGCTCATTGGCCTTATGGGTTACAATAAACAGCCAGGGGAGTTAGAGGACAATGTTGTCTCTCTGTGATATCTCCAACCCCCTCCACATCTAGGTTTTATTTGTGTCGTGTATGGTAGGTCCTATCACCAGGCATCATTTCACAATCCCAGCCCTGTCATAGCCTCTCATTAACATTTTTGGGCTGCATTCAAAAGCAGATGCCTGTAGATGACTCGGGGAGTCGGTGACATCAGGACATGCCAGTGTGCACGGCGGCCAGCTCGCCTGTGTGTGTGTCTAATTCAGCTGTCAACCAGATAGTGATGCATGAATGGTGGAAACATACTGTGCTTGGAGTTTGAGTTATGTCCTTCGTATTAGAGTCCTTTGACGCCCTGCTTGACCTCACCATAAGGCATCTGCCCTAAAAATAAAGAAGCTCATGTGTTTGTACTCGTGTCTTCGCTTCTCCATGCAGAGTCAAACGAAAACCTAAACAAACGTATGTAAACCGGGCACCTTCAGTGAAGAAGAATCAGCCTCCTGCTGTTAAGGTTAGAATAAAAATGTGTGTGGGCTACATTCAGACCAGTCGTCATGCTCCCTCCATCAGACTTAATAACAGCCCTCGGCTCTGTCATCATCTTGAGTGCTTTCATTAAAGAACATTTTTATTCTACTGCGCTCAGAATCACCAAGAAATTGGCCATGACACAGAGCAGCGCGTTTTAGCCCGACCTCGTCACCATGGCAATGTGTGTATGTGTTTTTTTTTATTTATTTAAAACCAACTCATCTTTTGCCTTTCAACTTTAATGTTTGATTGAGATAACACTTTCAGGATGCCAGTGGTTCATTTTAAAAAGATGGAGTGGGAAGGTAAAAGACAAGGATGGCACTACTGTGAAAGCCATATCCACATAATGGCTACACTTCACAACATGGAATAGAGCAACCCTCAGTGTTGAAGAGTATTTGAGCTTGACTACAGTATTCCCAATCTGACTTAGTTATTTACAGCTATTGCTGATCTAAAATGTATCTCACTTATTCTCTTCTTTGTGTGACCGTTGGATTTCACGTGTTGTCTGCAGACAATGTAAAAGACTAGTGGCCTGGCCAGCTTGACTGATTTAAAAAGGTCTTAAGTGAGTACGCTCTAATGGGCATAAGTCAATTTGGCTGGCCAGGCTAAAAATGTAGGCCCAGTTAGATATATAAACCTTATTTCTTTTTAAGGTGACGAATGTCAGGAAATGAAAAGGACTTCTTCTTTGAACTGATGAGGGTTTTTTTTCTGAAAATAATTCACACACAAAAAAAACATCAGTCAAGCTTTCAGGATAAAAAGGTGACTTTTCATGCAAAAAAAACAAAAGGGGAAAGAACCAGACACCACCATAGGGAGGAGAGCACACAGACGCCAGAGTAGGTAGCCAACCTGAGGTCTTTCTGCATGGAGTTTGAATGTTCTCCCCGTGCATACATGGGTTCTCCCCGGGTACTCCCGCATCCTCCAACAGTTCAAAACATGACTTTTATGTAAATTGTCAACTCAAAATTGTCCTTGGGTGGGAGTTTATGTGTGCATGGTTGTGTGTCTCTGTGTTGCCCTGTGACAGACTGGTGTCCAGGGTGTAATTTCGCTCTCGCCCAGAGACTGCCAGAGCTAGGTACTGGCACCACCGCGACCCTGACGAAATAAGCGGGAGAAGATGGAAGATGGCCTTGTCTTTACAGCTAACTCCATGACTTCTCAGTCTGCTGGTTCAAAGAAGTCCGTATCAGATTCCAAGGCTGATTCATACATATAATTGTAGCTTTTAGTTCCCTTTTCCTTCACCTTTTGTAGGGTTAACTGTAAGAACACAATTGTGGTTAGAAAAACACTCCAGACAGCTATGCTGAATTTCGATCAATGTTCAATGTTACAGATTTCATTTTGCGACAGACACACACATAAACAACACTGGTCAAATTAGGACTACAGGTCAAAGAACTACAAAACACAAAAGCTATACAAATGTAGTGAACGGCTGAAGCTCTCCATTATAAAACCTAAAACATAGAGTTGCATACAATTGCGTGTGTAACACACAGTATATGTCACAAAATACTTAAGTTATGAAATGTATGAGAACACAAATATGTGACAAATAATATGGTAAAATATTCACTTTGGATGAAATAAAAAGCTTTTTTCCTTTAAAAATACATAACACTGTGTTGCTGACTCTAACATTAACTCCTGGACATTGTTACTTGTCCAATAAACTTATTTTCTTGAAGAAATTTATCCAGTCAACTAATAAGTAAAAAGTATGCATGAAGTAGAAAAGCTAATGTTTTGGTAAAACAGAAAGCAATAAAAATGCAATTGTAGTAGTTTTGTTCAAGAGTTATTCACAATTTTCTTCGGTTTGTTTGAAAGCCCTATGCTCATTTTTATTAAACATATTTAGATCTAAGAGAGATCATTCCCTAAAAACCTTTATGGGCAACCTCAGGCTGACAAGCTCACAATGAAAGAGTGTGGCTGACTCTCAGAAAGGCAAGTGATGAAAATTAGACCATGATGTGTCCTTGGTAAAAGTACTTATCTTTGTACATTCTGTCCTTTTAGGGGTCAGTGTCACTGATGTTTACTTGAGTCTTTTCCAGGAAAGCAATGGACCGCAGCAGCATGACGGAGATTGGCCGAGGACGAAGTTCTTTAGCAGGATTTAACCAATCAGTCACTCAATCTATCAAAACAGAGTCACTCTATATAAAAATGCCTCTGATAGATGAATTATTGATCTTTGACTGAGTTTTCCTTATTACATATCTTAATGTTAATCTCAATATATGCATGTGTATAATAAATATAGACATTAATATGAGCTGCTAGAAGCTTTAAAATCAATCAAAGATAGAGAAGTTTCAAAAGATTATAAAAACTCAAGTCATTCATATAATTAAGAATTTAATTAATTATATACATCATTAGGATCTGTTTTACTGCTACTGAAAAAATATAACCAAAGAAGTACTGCACTAGTTGTCTCAATAATTTAGACTAGAATGAAAAACTATGACTTCATAGTATTTTTTTTTTTATCTCTCAGCTTTTGACACCAGCACCACCATTATAGTACAAAAGTACTTCAATGTTGGATAATATTGAGGTAATAATGCTGCTCCAGCTGTTTTTTCTCTCAGCTCGGCTGACTGGAAAAATCCCTTCCCACACAGCTAATCTTTAGGTA